TGCAGAGACCTGAAGATTTTGGCCTAAACGCACAACATTTGAGGGGTATCAAGGTGAGAAAAATAAATCCAGCCTTTTGAATTTTCTCAAACACACTTGCAAGTGCAATGACAACTGAATGTTCTTAACAAAGACGAAAGACGGCTTCTCATTCCATTTAGCGCAATTTTCGATTGAGTGTCGAAAATAATCCGAGATTTGCCTCGCTACGCTCTGCGATTGGTCCAGAAAACTCTCGCTCCTTTCACAACCAATCAGATGCAACGCTAAACCCAATCGTGACTTGTAACTACATAAATCGCGCGAGGGTACAAGTCACGATTAATTAATGCATTAATGCATTAATTTTTAGTTTTTCATGCGTCTATATAGTCGCGCTAGTCGCAGTTTGCTTTCAAGCAGCTCCTTCATTCTTCATTTCGTCTTCGGACATTGTTTTTTTGTTAAGCGCAGTTTTGCAGTAACCGTAACAATGTAAGTATTGTCGTTTCAAGTTGGCTCAGTGCAGTTCTTTCCTATCACCCTTACTTAATTAATTGTTGTAATTTTGTATTTATTTGTTATTATTATTATTATTATTTTTTTTTAAGTTTCAACCCACATCGTTCACCGTCAATAAATCGCCTATTTTACCAGTAATGGTGTTGTTGGGAAGTTACGATTGCCGCAATCACAGTGTGTCAAGAAATATTGCGCTAGAAAGCGAATGGAATGTATGCTGCAAAATTATATCAGTATTAGGGAAAACTGTATTGATCATACTCGATTGTCTGGTGATCACGGAAACCGATCACGAGTCTTACGTACGTAAAAGCTGGTTTGGCTTACAGCGAAGGCACTTTAAAGGTATGTTATTGTATTTGTATCAGTGCAAAACAGATGCAGCTTTCCCTTTTGCACAGGATGTCACAGTGGTGTGGCTGGCTTCGCTACGTATTTTCACCGCTATCTCTACAGCTGCCCTTTAGAATATTTCGCAGTTTCCCGGTTATAAGGCAATTTTACATCAGCTCAAGTACGCTCCTTCATTTTGGACTTTAATAATCCTTTTGACCGTCGCCTTGCTTCGATATTTCAAGCTATTTTTATCAATTCTTTGTCTCCGTGGGTCGTAATTGCTTGCTTGATAGAGAGTTACATTCTCAGAATTTTGGTTGATCTATCTTTAAATTACACTAGGTTGAACTCTTTAAAGCAGAAATATCCCATTTACATTTTTTCTACACCTAAACTGTCATTGTTCGTGTTTTTTATTGCTACCTTTATCAATCTCATGGCTGCCCTTTTAGCCCTGAGTGTGGAAATCCGCGAGATGCATAAAACAGATCGAGCTAAGAACTCGATCGATTTGGATACCAGAAACGAACTGCTGCAGGTCTTTGGTACAACCACTTTTAGAATTAATTTAATGAGATTCTTTTAGGAACAGTTTTTCATCGACGACAGGAACATTCTTTGCTTCCATATGCCTTTGGAGTGAGAAAGACAGCGAAAATTGTAAGGGGCTCATTCTTGTCCTCAGAGGCACTTAATTTCGCTTACTCTGATCAAATGATTAGATCACTAAAATGGTTGCGCCCCCACGGTGCGAAAAAGGTTCTTTCCATTTTCTTTCACAATTTCTGCTCCTAAATGTTACGCCTTGCCTCTTATGGAGATCAGTTTTTAGCGATTCGTTATCGTTTGAACACAGCGTTTTCAATTTTTCGTTTAGCTAAATGTACTAAATTTGTAGAATTTATTACCTTGTTTTAATTGTCCGTGTTAAAACAGTGCGACACATGAAAGAAGCGGTGTGTATTTTGAACCACAAAGCCATAATTTCGTTATACTATACCACAGAATCTCTCCACTTCCGGTTCTCCGTGTCATGTACTTCAACCTTGCACAGAATCTTAGGCCTTGGGTTTTTAGGCCGAGTAACGCTGTCGGCAAGTTTACAGTTGGGGTCGTTGTCTCGAGATTTTTTACTCGATAAATTTTCTGTTTGATTTCATTCGGACCTTTTTAATCTTACTGAGTTCCTCCGAAACATTCCCACAACGGATTGAGGTGTCGAGGTTGTAAAAGCCGAACTTCGTTTCCGTTTACTAGACAGGGGTAAGACTTCAGCGGGTTGTGTATGATTTTTATATATCAGATAAATGCCTTTATTTTGAGACTCTCTGTCATAAATTTACTCTTTCAAGTGTTTTTTATTGTTTTCGGATTTTCTTTGATTTTTGGTGGTGTGTGAAACTCTGCTATAACTACCGAGGATTGCTAACTTTAATTTGAATACTTCGCTACAGTGAACTGCCGTCCCGCGTTAGTTCAAAACTTACCTGAATATGCTGACGAATTCACAAAGGAAAAGAAAGAGCATTTAACTAAAAAAAGAAATAGAAATAATGGCATTTATCAGTGGACATTCTACGATGTGGCTCTTCTTGTTCACTTACGCAAATTGTCAATGAACAGTGCCAGTAAATATAGAATTTAAAAATCTCAACTGGCCGGAGGCAAACCAATTAGCTATAGAAAAAGTGCGGCCGAGGAGTTGAACGCGAGCCGCGTCCACAAAGCCAGGATCGGACCGGATCAGACCACGGACCGGATTGCGGATCGGATCACGGATCGGATCATGGATCGGATCACGGATCGGATCACGGATCGGATCACGGATCGGATCACGGATCGGATCACGGATCGGATCACGGATCGAATAAGTAAATTTTGAAAAATAAAAAAATCAAATCGGTTGTAAAATAACAATACTTCAAAACTAAGAGTAAAAAAACTGAAATAGTTTACTTGAAATCAATAGGCTCCGCTGGAAGCTTTTTTTGCCCCTTAAACCACATGCGGTCACTTTCAATTCAAGGACTACATAAATCGCTTTCGTGCACTTCAGTACTCATTTCTATAACAATCTTATTCCTCACGTCGCCTCTTTCGCCTCATGTAAGGTAATCCAGGATAATATTAGATTCTGGACTCCACGCTGTGGATTCCGGATTCCAGGTGCTGGATTCCGGATTCTACCTGTGCACATTCCGGATTCCAAAACACAAAAGATTCCAGATTTTAGTTGCTGGTTTGCTCCTAATTTTTACATTTCGTTTTCTAGGAATGACTTCAATGGCGGATTTCGTAAATGAAGGACATGTTCTGTGAATGCATGTTTGTCTATTCATATTACCATAACAACATTTGATAATTACAAGAAATATATTACAGCAAATCAAGGGATAAATTTTTCTACTAGGAATACCTGTTGAGACTGTCTGACCATGACTCTTAACTCCAATGTCCATTCATTCCAAATTTTTTCAGCAGCTCTGAAGAGGCCTACTATATTTCTTTCATTCAGGTTCCTCGAGGTTCTTCAAGTAATTTAGCGGTATCAAAAGAACTAATAGTTCAAATCATTGCTCATCATTTTTAATTTGTAAATAACTGTTGGACTGAAAAAGATGTTTTAGCACAGCATAACATTGTTCCGACTGGGAAAATGTGGCCAATTTTTGTAATCCAAAATTGACTTCATGGAGAACTGTCAACAAAACAGCTCGAAAATACTTCCCTATTATCTCAAATTACTTTTTTAACTCTCCTTTTCAACAAAAACCATAGTATTTACGAAAAATTTTAACTGAAATATAATTTTAATAACACCCTGTGTATCTCGCAAATGAATCGCAGACTGTGACTGAGAAAAACTTGTTTTCCTATATGTAATTGGCAATGATGTTTGACACTATGAGATTACACATAAAACGGTGTTCAACCAACTAAACTATACTTAGCCCTTAGCAAAATCGCAAAAGATCTGCATTTACACGGTAATTTTCCAAGAATAAAAGATTCTCTTTTCTGTACTTCCTTATTTCTTAATAAGGTTAGTCAAGTCAAGTCAAGTCACTTACGTCGGCTATGAATTCTACAGAACAATGACTCTAAAGGTTTAAAGTGGCCTACCAATATTTTCCTGTTTGATCCTTAAATCTGGTAATATCTTATTTATTTTATTTGCACCGAGATATGATGCCTTATGAAATCTTATATTTTGTTATTCCGAATGCCAAATATCAAAGAAAGCGACACAGCCGTGAAAGTGACTACATGGGGTTTTGGGGCCAAAAAAATTCCAGTGGGGTCTGCGCTCCATTATGTCACGCAGACTTTGCTCTAGCGTTATTTTCGTTTTTCATTCTTGTTTTCTGTATTATTATTTTATAAAAGATTTGATGTTTTATTTTCAAGACTCTTCTTTTTTCGATTCTTGATCCAATCCGTGATCCAATCCCATATCCAAACCGTGAAGCGATCGGTGATCCGGTCCGTAACCAGGTCCGTGATCCGATCCGTGATCTAGTTTGTGATCCGGTCCGGTCCAGATTTTACCGACGCCGAACTCAAGCAATCGAGAACATATCAGGTAAGGTGCTGGGTTGAGGACTTTAACCCGGAACCCAGTGCCTTAATTACGATCTTAATTGGTTTTTGGCGCTGACTAGCTGGCTAATCAGCCGTAATTTTGGCGAGCGAGTGCTCATTATTTTCTCAACGAAAATCATGGCCACCATCTTTGATTTGAATGGCAGCGGAAGGCTGGCGAGAGAGGAATTTGTACCAAGGGGGCGGTCGACGGTCGAAAATAAGGAGAGGGGTAGGGGTGGGGGAGTGAAGATTCTACGAATTCAAACATAGCCGGTCTTAAAAACGATCGCAAGCTTATAACGTTAGCTCGTACTCAACCAGCGACACACCTGGCGATTTTACTTGCCAATCGTGACAAATTTATTCGCCAAATTTAATCCGGCATGTCAGATATCGGCGATTTTGTACGCCGATCGCGGCGGTCGGTGAAAATTGCGATCGGACGCACCTGGGGATTTTCGCCGATCGCTGCGATTGGCGTAGAAAATCGCCAGTTGTGTCGCCAACTTTATACGTCACCTGCACGGCAGGCAAGGTGCTGATCGAAGCAAAAAATTTCCAATAATTTACAACAACGCCGTCGTCAGATTCACTGCCTAAATCGTGGTATCGAGATTTTCATCCAAAACGAATCTCTTGTGTTTTAAAAGGACCTTATCAATTCCCGTGAGTTTCTTTGAAAGCTTTCCATATCGGACTGAGGTGATAAGGTCGTAAAAAGGCTGCTGACATCGCTTCCGTTTTCACAACAGAGGTGCGAAGTTTCACAGGTTTGTGTGAGGTTTTTGTAGACTGAGTAAATATTCTTTTCGTGAGCTTCTCAGTAGTTGTTTTCTCCTCCAAGTTTTTTCAACTTACGCTAATTCTCTTTGATTTCTGGCCATGAAGGTGCTGAATCACAACTGCCGAGGATATCTAACTTTTACCTGAATCTGGCGTTGGGTGAACTGGCGCCTCGAGTTACTTCTAAGCTAAGCTTTTATCTTACTCTCACAGTTGACGAATTCTTCCAAAAGGCACAGGAATACTAAACTGGTATCGATCAAGGAAAAAAACGAGTGATTCCGAAGTGTTTTATGGAAATTTCAAGGTATTGCTTTAATTTTGTTTTTAGTGCTGAGCAAAGCACTTTCACTCTATTTTCGAAATTGGAAGTGCTTCGATCAGCGCCAATCACCAAATTAAATATGTATGATTTTTTGTGATTATTGTTGTGGACCTCATTTAAGATAAAGGTGTGATCACAATTTTACCATAATAATAATAATAATAATAATAATAATAATAATAGTAATAATAATAATGATAATGATAATAATAATTTGTTAAAAAAAAAAGCTACAGGTAATAAAACCGTTATTAAACCGTTGTTATTATCATTATTATTATTGAATTTATTTGTACATGAAGACAGCTACAAGGATTATTTGATATTTAAAAAACAAGCCATTTTTATTATTAGGAGAATTAAAGTTAGCATCAAAGACAATAAATTTTGTGCACAAAACAATGTAAATATGAAAATTATGATTGCAAAAACAATTTGTTAAAATTATATATATTAATAAACCACAAATGTCTTCACCTGTACCAAATTGAAATCCATTTCAACATACATCAGCATGCATAAATGTACTGTAAATATTTCACTGTTTTTCCAGCAATAAGTGTAACAGTTGAACTAACACTCACCTATACGAATATGGGTGTCAGCTCAACTGAAGGAAATTAATTAAAGAAATATCTTTTATAAGTTTTGACCAGAAATCCCTATTTAAAAATCAGATAAGAGAATTTTTCTTTGGTGTTGTGAAATTTGTTTCTTATGAGAAAGGATTCAGCATAAACTCTCCCCTCTTGTGGAGACATGGTGGTCTTATGATTAGTGAAGTTGACTCATGGTCAAGAGGTCTGCATTTGTAGCCTAGCCTGGCCTGTGCTGGACTCAGGGTCAAGAGGTCTGGGTTCCAGTCAATGTGTTGTGTTCTTGTGCAAAACACTTTACTCTTACAGTGTCTGTCTCCACCCAGGAGTATAAATGGGTAGCAAAAATTAGTTAGGGAAACCTGATAAAATGCTAGGGGGGGGTGAAGGGGGGGGGGAATAATGGTGGAATGGACCTGCATCCTGTCCATGGTTGGGTAGTAATACTCCCAGTTGCTTTATGTGAGGAAACCAGGATTAATTAAAGTTCAGGCCCTGGACAGGCTGCTTTTCAAATCCAGATGTGACCAAACTACCTACCACCTCTTAGTTTAAATGATTTAAATTGCTGCTGTTACAAATTATACGAACTTGAAACACACAGATATTGATTTTTGCCCAATTTATTTCAGTCAATTGCATAGGAATGTCTTTAGTAAATCTTGAAATTTATTGTAATGAGAAGTGAATTACTGTTCATTTAAATATTAAGGCTTGTTTTCTATAGTATATATATCTTTTGTTCTTTTACTGCTTTAAACTGCTTTAAATATGCTATTCATATTAATTGCTTGTGATTTTGTGTTTATGTTAATCCCTCCCATTCTCAGAGGGGAAAAAATATTTAGTTTACAATTGAGTGATATGTTGAGCTAAATTTGTTACCACTTGCAACCATCTTTTTTTCAGGCCAGATTGACTTAAAACAGTTATTTTTTGAAAGAAGTATCCCCTTACAGTTGCTATGGCTAAAGAAGGAAGTCCAATTAAGGTTCCATCTGAAAATGAAGACTTACCTGACAAAGAAAATGCTCCAGATTTTGATGAGGACACTTTACGAGGTGAGCTAGGTTCAACTTTGGCTTCACTCACTGTTAAAACGTTTTCCATCTCACCAGTTTCAAGAGTATAGGCAGATGTGGAGAACAATATTAATACACTCCCTTGCGAACTGAATTCCCAGTTTTCTGGGAATTCGTAGGAATTCCTAGGAATTCCTAGGAATTCTCAAAAATTCCCAATTATGCAAATTAACTCTGATTTAAAAAGCTTGGAATTGCTGGGAATTTCTGGGAAAAGAAGACTCCAGTTTTGTGAGGACTTGGCATTCCTACCTAAAATTTAAGAAGGGTGGAATTCTTAGGAATTTGAGGCAATTTAAATACCCTGAGGTCCACATAAATCCAAAGAAATTCTCAATACCTTGAATGTGAAGGTTTTTAAGAAAAGGAGTAATTTCAGAGGCTTAAAACTTTGGCTCAATAAAAGGTATGCTATACAAAACTTACCAAGAGATATACATACATGTATATGTTTATAACTTAAAGATCATGAAATTTATTATTCAAACTAAGTTTTAGTAAATCTCTACATTAATATGGATTTTCTCATGAACCAACAGTCAATTATGTTAAATGGAACCAATTAATCCAATGTCCTCATATCACAGATTTGCTTTCTAACCTCAAAGGACTCTTGGATTCCATGATCATAAAATATTTTTATTGTGATGCAAATTAATGTCTCATGTTCACTGATGTGCCAGAATCATCAACATTCATTAGCTGTTCCTTAGTACACAACTTCCACAATAATAATAACAATAATTACATTGTTATCTACACTTAAAGAACTTTGTTAGTTATGAACATAAGTTACTTCCCTTACCTACATTACTGGTTGCCTTTGTTAGAAAACCTTGTGGCCCTGATTATAAATATTTAAGCATGGTAAATACATTAGCCTTAACTTGGCTGTTTCTCGAAGTTCAGTGTTTTCCTACATGCCTTTTTCACGTGAAATGAGGCGATTGAATATACATAAAATACACTAAAAGAACTACAGCAGATGGAAATTTAAAATTTCTTATCTAAAGGCTGTGGATACAAACTTATTAATGACTCTAAAAATATAAAAATCTGAATCTAAATTTTTTTAGTGTTGCTTAGCTTTTCATTTTTCCGGAATCGAAAGTTGAGATTGCAAAATTCAAGTGAAAAGCAAACCGACTGTGATTAATGCCTTAAACAAGTCAAGATACTGTTTTTCGTTATACAACAAGTTACTTATCGCAAATATCATTCTTCTTGATGCCTTTCCCGGTGTCACCGATGCCTTTCCCGATGCCTTTCCCGATGCCTTTCCTGATGCCTTTCCTGATGCCTCTGTTGGTTAATATATCAGTAAAAATATTGTTCCAGTCAAAGCGTTTGGAAAATTGCTTAACTTTTGAATTACCGAAGTTTAACCTGGTAACATTTTGGCTTTACAACACGATTGTTTTTTGCAAGTTACAAAACGTAAATTTAATTTTTCATAGTACCTTTCCGAATGCAACCGATGCCTTCCCCGATACCTGCATCGTTAAATATAGCAGTAAAAGATATATGTGCCATCAACACTTTTGAAAAATTGTTTCACATTTTATTGAGCGAAGTATACTGTTCACATTTCGGCTTTACAACACTATTGCTTTCTGAAACTACAACTGATATGTCTCTATATGAAGTATTAAATTTTTTTCCCGCTGACCACTTGTATTTCGGTCATTTCTTCCTGCCCCGCTCGTCGCCCGTGATGTAGTAACTCCCTTAACACTGCAATCGGCAAGCCAGCGGATTCACTTTGCTAGCCAATGACAAGTCTTAAAAGATCCACGTGATCATGCCCGTGATCGGAAACAAAGAAGACTCCATTTGGCGCTCATCTTTGAATGTACTTTTCATCGGTTGATCGTTTTTCTCAACTGTTTTGCTTAATATAACATTTCTTAAGATAGCTTTTATTGTGGTTCAATGGAACAGCGTGAGTGTTGTAAAAGAAAAGAAAGTCGTTGGCGCCGTGGAGTTAAAAGAAGGGACAACAGTCGACATATTGACTAGTACAAACAAAGGTCGAGAGGCCATCTGTAAAGCTACGATTTTGAAAGTTTGTGGTGAGTAAAAATTGCGATATTCGTTACGTGATCAAAATCTCATAAAAGAATAGATGTAGCGGGTTGAATTATGCTTACATAACGCTCGGCGCAACTGAAACTAGAATAATTCTGAGAATAGAATCGGTCACTTGCATGCCGCAGTTTCTTAAGCTTATTCTTTACAATAAATAATAATACAATAAATAAATAAACCTATCAGTAAGGTTTCAAGATTCCTCTAGTCACGTTTGGGAACATTCAAGATTCATAATAGGAACTGTTATTAAACAAACCTTATTACATAAAGAAGCCCTCCGTGGTAAAAACAAAATAATGTATTCAACCCTTTTTTAGTAAAATCTATGAAAGAGATGTACTAACTCTAATATAAAAGTCACTCAGTATAAGAGAGATTTCTCAATTTGAGAATCCAATGAATTCCCTTTTCCTCATAGCCATCTTAAAGGCCTGGTCTGAGCTTTAAATATATATATATTTAAATATATATATTTTTTTCAAATTCAGATGTCATGGAATCCAGATACAAAATGGTCAAGCTTCTTGTAGACAACCTCATTCAAGGCCAACTCATTGTGAGCTCAGGAAAAAAATACAAACAGCAGCTAAGTTTGCAGTTTAGGATAACTTCATTCTTATTTATTGTTACAGTTACAACAAGATTTTAATCAAAAAATCAATTTTATTTGTCTGTAATTAACCCCTTCACTCCCAAGAGTGCTTGGTTTTCAAATATAATTGAAGATATTATATTTTATGGAAAAGAATGAACAGATTTTATTCACAATTTGTGTCAAACCAAATTTAATGATTGATTAGGACTATTTTATACGAATAGCTGTAATTGAGGATTATCTGTATGAAGTTTTCAAGTAAAGAAAAATAAATCAAATTCCATCCTAATATTACCACACATTGATGTTGATAATTAATCAAAAATATTTTACATGTAAGCCTTAATTAAGCTTCCAAATAAAATTTCATTGAATACTTGAATTTTAGCTGGGTTTTTTTAATTTAAAGTATTTATTTTATATCATTAGCCTCAAATTTTTGCTTAAAATTCCCAGTAATTCTTGAACATTCCTAAAAATTCCCAAAAATTCCCAGAAATTCCTAGGAATTTTTTAGATTTACAGCTTTTCAGGGAAAGTCATTGGTTCTCTGAGTTGAAATTCTGAGTCCTGTTGGCTATAAACTTGGAATTTCTGGGAATTTCTAGGAATTTCTAGGTTTTTAGAACCAGGGTTGTTATGGTTGGGAATTCCCAGTCCGAGTTTACCCTGAAAATTCACACCTTTATTCCTAGGAATTCCTAGGAAAGAATTCCTAGGAATTCCAAAAGCCATTTCGCAAGGGCTGAGTGCATGACCACTTTAAAGGATATTTGGCCAGTCATGACTATCTTGATCATTACAATATGTTGTTCATTGAGAGGGTCTATGACATATTTGTTATTTTCTTTTCTCAAAGTTCAAAGCAAATACAGAAAGTCATAATAACTAAAGACTTTATTTGATCATCATATAACATCCATTTTGTAAGTTTGCATCATAAGTACCATCATCATCATCATCTTTCCATTAGATTATACAACAATCAATTGAAAGTGTCAACTTCCCCTAAGCAACCAATTTCCAGTAGAGTGCAAGTGTTATATCATTGAATATGAAGATGTTTAACCCTTGACACCCAAATATCAGTATCCATATTCTCCATACTATTCTTTGTATGTTTCTTGTGGTACTGAAAAAGAGAATTCATTTGAAGATCAATGCTTCTTAGGTTGGTGATCATTTCCTTTATTCTCATGAGCTTAGTGAACGATTCAGCAGTATTACTGTAAGGATAAGTGAGATGCTGGTCACTCTGAGGGTTTAAAGGGTTAAGGTAGTGTAGTGGTTGTGAGTGTTCAAGTCTACCCTCCTCACCCCTCTTGTTTGTAGTATATTGGAGCATGTGTGTTGGGATGTTGATAATTAAAACAACGTGTTGGATTCCTTTCAAAGGTGTTGTTTACTGTTTGTGTTAAATCTGTAAATACACTACAGGTTGTAGTGAACTTTCTCTAACAAATGGCTGAGAAGAAAAAAGTCTACAAGGTCTAGGTTTTAAAGCTTGGTCAATTAGTTGAAAGTCAGGTTGCTAATTATTTTGTTTTTTTGAATAAAAATTGTGTGGGGCATTTGAACACATTATTAATTTTGCCTGTGGAATAGAAATTTTAGGAAACCTATCTCCAAAAGTTTAAATGCCCAGGATTTTTCTTGAAATAGAGTGATGCTCAATTCTCATCATTATTATTATCCCTGTTGTCACCTACATTATTAACATCGGCAAAAGTGAACAATAGCTCCCATGTTCGGCTGTCGGTAACCTGTCGGCCAACTGTCGGCCGACATGATACCGACACATTACCGACAGCCGGCCGACAATGTTAACCAGACCATACTGTACCAATTTTTGTATTTACCTACTTCCTAACTTGTATTTTTACACTAAAATAGGCTTGTTTGCTCGGTAGCAAAAAGGAAGTTTTTCAATTGCCCTATAATACATTGCGAAACCATAATTTACAATACTTCATGTGTGTCTGATTAATCTTTCTTTTCTTGTAACAGGTCGAGATCATCACCCTTTTTGGCATATTGTGACAATTAAAATATTAAAGTATACCTTTTTTTTGGCGTTTCATTAGACTTCATTCGGGAGTGTTTTGCCTTTCTTTTTAAACCATCTGCGTGCTACGTGCACATTCCCGCCAGGATGCTTGCAAGACGCGATCGGCCAAAAACGTGAAAACGCTTTGAAAACTCTGGATAAGAGCAAGTAACTCAAAATGATTCATGAAATCGAACCAATATGGGCATGTTTCGCTAGCCAACGCAAGCAAGTTAGGCAATAGCCATACTAACTATCTCTCTGCAATTAATTTTTCCCGTTTCGACGTAGTTGTTGAAGCGATAGATAAGTAACTGTTTGCGATCATTTCAGCACAAGACTTACCGACACATTACCGCCGGGTCACCGACAGGTTACCAACAGACGGCCGAATGTTGGTCAACTGTCGGCCGATGGTCGGCCGACACTTTAGTCTGCAACATTACGAAAACTGTCGGCCGACAGTTGGCCTTCTTGACCGTTCGAATAATTTATTCACCCGTTCGAACGGTTAGGCAAACCGTCCGAACACTTCAAGGACCGTTCGTTAACCATTCGTCATCTGTGCGTTTTTGCCGTTCAAACGGTTTTCCGTTAGTCTCCGCTTTGCCTTTCACGGTCATATTTTTCTATGAGTAACATTGCTTCTGGTTTTTATGATTGCAAAATTTGGATCTTATTGCCTTATTAACTAGCTATCCAAATGTATTAAAGGCAGTAGACTCTTCTACACTAATAATATGCCGACTCTCCCTGATTGTCAGGGAGTCTCACAGACACAGAATAAGACTCTGGGTCTCCCTTGAACCTTTAAGATAAAAGAGGATTTGGGTCAGTTCCACACAGAAACATAACATTTGAACTGCAGATTTCCCACATCTAATGTTACCTTGCCTTTTCTTAATATAAGGGTTCTTATCTTAGTTTTCTTGATTGCACTTAGATTGTTTCAAAGTAGAGATTACACTTTCTTCCAAACAACAACCACAACAGCAACTGAGTCTGATTGGTTGAGCTTTCAACCAAAACATCTCTCATGAATTTACTGAATGGGGTGTGTCCTGTGAAGGGGGTGGGGGGGGGGGTCTGTACACATCCTCTAAGCTTTTCAGGGGATGGGTCAAGTCAGGCAGGTGCAAAAGTGGCAGCTGGCACAAAAGGAAAAATCTGCAGATTTTAAATCTCCAGATCTTGGCAGCTCTGCTCATACACTAATTAACTACAACCACAGATAATTAATGACTACAACCACAGACTTTGACACAAATTATTTTTCATTTTTTCTTTGCAGCCGCAGCTGATGTTTATAGGAATGAGGGTAATGAGGCCTTCAAGAAAGGAGATTTCATCAATGCTATTCATTTTTACACCAAAGGAATTAAAATGAACTGCAATGAGAAAGAACTGAAGGCCAAACTACACAACAACAGGGCTATTGCACATTTTAAACTTGGTAAGATGATGAGAGCTTTAATTTGCATTTTTTTTTCTTTTGAAGCTATTGAGTTGTCATCAGTAGTTTTCTGAGATAGGTGATAATTTTTAATGCATGCTCAGAAAAATATACATCTTATCTTAATTGGCCTCTCAAATATACAAAGAAGTAACCTCTTACCCCAGATATCAGTGACCATCGAAAGTTTTTCCCAAAATTATTGTAACGGAGTGGTGGTTGGTTTGCTACATGTATGGCTAATCAGAGATATTTATTTTAATAACAGGAAATCACCAGGATTCGCTAAGGGACGCAGAAGAAGCCATTGAGTTAAATCCAACTTTCCTTAAGGCAATTGTTAGAGGTTAGATATGTTAGCTGTGTTATAATAATAATAACAACAATAATAATAATAATAATAATAATAATAAAAGAACTCAACACTCTAAGGTTAAACGAGATTAAATAAAATTCAATCTTGTCTCAATTGACTTTTAAATTAAGAGGTGGAGACCACCCTGTTGTACATTTGAATCCAGCTCTTGACTGCTATGCAACTACTTTCCATTAATTATGATGAGAATATTATTTTGAGCTGGATGAAGAACTCAATGCGGAATGCAAAGCAAAATTTCAGCATGAATATTTTAGTTCCTTACGTTCAATGAGTCACAGGTGTCAGATATGTTTAGTCACTATCTAGCTGTTTTAAAAAGAAGTAAGGATCAGGACTAACCTAACTCTTTAGGTAAGGGATTGTCAGTCCCAATTTAAATGTTCTTAAAAGTTTCAGTTGTCTTAAAAGCTAAATAAATCTAACTGAAACCTGATAGGGCCTGTTTATTCTTTTCCATTTAGTATTTTTGCTTTGTTTTGTTTTGTCATTTTTTTTCTTCTGGTCTGTAATGATTTCAATGGTTTCAGGTTCTTTTCTCAGAATTGAGCTACAGTAATAATATGCTTCTTTGTGTTGTTGCCTACAGGAGCCACTGCTTGTGTTGAATTGAAGAGATTTGAAGAAGCAATCAGTTGGTGTGATAAGGGACTAGCTGTATCCTTTGAAGAAATCTTTCATTTTTAACCGTGTGTATAACAGAAAAACACCATAATTTGATGTTTTAAGGGAGAAAATACAAAGAAGGGTTCTAATAATGATGGGAACTTGTCAACTCATACTCAAAGTGGGTGTGATTAAAAAACATGGGAAAAGTTCCCTTGCGAAATGGACTTTGGAATTCCTTGGAATTCCTAGGATTTTCCTAGGAGTTCCTAGGAATAAAGGTGTGAATTTTCACGGTAAATTCGGACTGGGAATTCCTAGGAATTCCTAGGAATTCCCAACCATAACAACTCTGGTTCTAAAAACCTAGAAATTCCAAGAAATTCCCAGAAATTCACCTTTTGGGCTTTAGATTTTACGTGTAGTATCACGTGATTTTTGATATAAACAAACCCCGAAAGTTCGGACATCGAGTCGAGCTCGCAGCACATGTGTCCAAACTTCGGCTTTGGAAATTTTTCTTAAATAACTTCCCACTTTCAAGAAGCGTCTCTTCGCTCCAAATTGACATCTTTCTTTTGTCATTTATTTGATCGTTTATTAAGCAAGTTGTCATAATTCGCTGCCGTTGAAGCAGATGCGAAGAATGTTACAGGAAGCGTTGTGGCATGGAATAATCGAACTAGTTCTGCGTACAGTGATGTATCTGATCAGGTATTTTCAGTGTGTTTAGTGCGTAGATTGTCAAATAAATTGAAAAGCTGTAAATCTAAAAAATTCCTAGGAATTTCTGGAAATTTTCAGGAATTTTTAGGAATGTTTAAGAATTACTGGGAATTTTAAGCAAAAAATTTGAGGCTAATGATATAAAATAAATACTTTAAATTAAAAAACCCAGCTAAAATTCAAGTATTCAATGAAATTTATTTAGAAGCTTAATTAAGGCTTACATGTAAAATATTTTTGATTAATTATTAACATCAACATGTGGTAATATTAGGATGGAATTGGATTTATTTTTCTTTTCTTGAAAACTTCATACGGATTAATCCTCAATTACAGCTATTCATATAAAATAGTCCTAATCAATCATTAAATTTGGTTTGACACAAATTGTGAATAAAATCTGTTGATTCTTTTCCATAAAATACAATATCCTTAATTATATTTGAAAACCAAGCACTCCTGGGAGTGAAGGGGTTAATTACAGATAAATAAAACTGATTTTTTGATTAAAATCCTGTAACTGTAACAATAAATTAGAGTGAAGTTATCCTAAACTGCAAACTTAGTTGCTGTTTGTATTTTTTTTCCCTGGGCTCACAATGAGTTGGCCTTGAATGAGGTTGTCTATAAGAGGCTTGACCATTATGTATCTGGATTCCATGACATCTGAATTTGAAAAAAAAAAAAAAAATATATATATATATATATTTAAATCTCAGACTAGGCCTTTAAGATGACTATAAGGAAAAGGGCATTCATTGGATACTGAAATTGAGAAATCTCTGTTATATTGAGTGACTTTGATATTGGAGTTAGTACATCTCTCCCATAGATTTTACTAAAAAAGGGCTGAATACATTATTTTGTTTTTACCAAGGAGGGCTTCTTTACGTAATAAGGTTTGCGTAATAACAGTTCCCATTATGAATCTTGAATGTTCCCAAACGTGACTAAAGGAAGATTTATTTCATTGTAAAGCATAAACTTAAGAAACTGCGGCATGCAAGTGACCGATTTGATTCTCAGAATTATTCTAGTCTCAATTGCGCCGAGCGCTATGTAAGCTTAATTCAACCCGTTACATCTATTCTTTTATAAGATTTTGATCACGTAACGAATATCGCAATTTTTACTCACCACAAACTTTCAAAATCGTAGCTTTACAGATGGCCACTCGACCCTTGTTTGTACCAGTCAATATGTCAACTGTTGTCCCTTCTTTTAACTCCACGGCACCAACGACTTTCTTTTCTTTTACAACACTCACGCTTTTTCTCGTTTTCCCATTGAACCACAATAAAAGCTATCTTTATAAAACTTTATTCTGACTTCTCCGACCAGTTCTCTGCTTCTAGACGATGGATACCTTGGTGATATAAATAATGATGTGAGCTCACTCTAAGTAGAAATAATCGACAAGAATGGATCGTACTACAAATGCACGATTTGTGGCCGAAAGTTGTCGAGGAAACAAAGACTCGAAACTTACTTGAGTTGTGTTCATGGCAAAGGTGAGAAATAACACAAGCCAATCACAGTTCTGAATGTGACTACAAATCGTCTTTTACCCTCATATTTATAAAAGAAGGATACCACATTAGGAAGTATAAGAGATGCATAGATGATCCCAGTGTACCAGTACCTAAATCTACAAAGTTTGACCGTCGCAAGCGTTCAGCAACACGTTCCAACACCGCCATCTCGATTCCTCAGTCAGTCGTTTCCACTGAACGTAAAGCAGTGGTGACAACAGAGTAGAGTGCGTCTTACAAAGGAGAAACATTTGTACAAGAGACAGAAGTATCTATATGCGATTACAGAGGTGCGTTGGAACTCTGGTCCACAAACAGTTATGCACTGTCCGAAATATAAAACAATTTTGTTGATAGCTGACAGACAGAGAAGAACAGCAAGTAAACTTTAGAGCTGTTATTATTGAAGTGTGACTTGCGCTTTTCATTTGTATATAAAGAAGGACTTGTATTTTGCACCAAAAATAAAAAGATGTAATATTTTTTGGGAGATCCAGTGATTGGGACATTTAAGAAATTAAGTTATGAAAGGAAACTTGGTTTGTACTTCTCACTACCAACAAGTCTTGTTGACAAATATTTTCAGATCAGAGTTTCAAATAAAGTAAATTGAAGACGTCATTTAAAAGGTGTTTTTTCTCAAAGGGAACATTAACTACCTCTGTCTTGTCTGCATGCCAAATGTTTGCAAAGTGTGTGGATGATCCACAAGCATTGGAACTCTTACAGAAATGTTTCGTAAGAATAAAAACAGTAGAAAAAATTACAGCAATTAGTCACGAAAACAGAGCAAAAAATTGAAAAAAAACAGCAACAACAATCATGAAAAAAGAAAGATTAATTAGGTGTTGAATTTGTTTGTCTAAGGCATGAAATTTCTACTAAAAATAATGTCAACAAAAAGTCTCTGACAGTGTTTGAGGCAACTGAGCTTGACTGTTCCAAGGTTTTCTAACAAAGGCAACCAGTAATGTAGGTTAGGGAAGTAACTTATGTTCATAACTAACAAAGTTCTTTAAGTTTAGATAACAATGTAATTATTGTTAATTATTGTGGAAGTTGTGTACCAAGGAACAGCTAATGAATGTTTCATGATTTTGGCACATCAGTGAACATGAGACATAAATTTGCATCACAATAAAAATATTTTTTGATCATGGAATCCAAGAGTCCTTTGAAGTTAGAGAGCAAATCTGTGATATGAGTACATTGGATTAATTGGCAATTTCCATTTAATATAATTGACTGCTAATTCATGAGAAAATCCGTATTAATGTAGAGATTTACTAAAACTTAGTTTGAATAATAAATTTCATGACCTTTAAGTTATAAACATATACATGTATGTATATCTCTTGGTAAGTTTTTTATAGCATACCTTTTATTGAGCTAAAGTTTTAAGCCTCTGAAATTACTCCTTTTCTTAAAACCTTCACATTTAAGATATTGATAATTTCTTAGAATTTATGTGGACCTCAAGGTATTTAAATTGCCTAAAATTCAATTCCCAGAAATTTCCAGGAATTCCACCCTTCTTAAATTATAGGTAGTTTGTATAGCTGAGAATTCCTAGGAATTCCTAGGAATTTCAAGTCCTCACAAAACTGGAGTCTTCCTTTCCCAGAAATTCCCAGTAATTCCAAGCTTTTTAAATCAGAGCTAATTTGCATAGTTGGGAATTTTTGAGAATTCCTAGGAATTCCCAGAAAACTGGGAATTCAGTTTGCAAGGGTCATTTGCATAATTGGGAATTTTTGAGAATTTCTAGGAATTCCCAGAAAACTGGGAATTCAGTTCGCAAGGGTTATTACCTTGTGACTTATCAATGATGTTACTCCTTTTAGCCAATTTGACTTAGTTTTACTATCCATGCCAATAACTGGTACATAGGTTTAGATAACCCTTTAACTCCCAGACTAAATTTGTAATTATCCTTACTGTCAACTATACAATTTTTGTAATGTTAGTTCAGATAATTCAGTATTGGACCAACTAAACTGATATGTTTCTTTACTCTCAACATTTATCTGATTGATATTGTACTGCTATTGTAGGAAAAAATTCTCTCTTGGTCACTCATGGGAGTTAAAGGGTTAAAAGACTAATATTCATCCAGTTTATACATGGTACGTGGGTAGATGATCTCTCTAAAACAAGCCAGAACAAAAAGCTTGGTAATGTTTACATATCCTATGCAGATTTTCTTGAATTTAACCTTTTTGACTACTACAAGACCCGAAAACTTTCGTCGTGTTTTCCTATGGACAAATACAACTTTTAAAGGCACGTATTTGGACTCATTTCTTCCACTGCTGTAAAACATTCATCTGATGTTAAAGCTATATTAATTTAAAAATTGAGCAGGTGCTCCCCAGTTTTTGGAAACAAGGGATTAAATCTAGATATTTCGCGTTGAATTTTGAGGCTGCACGCAGAAAAAAATTTTTTTTAGGTGTAGATTTACTTCATAACTGACTGAATGTTGATAAAACATCTACCTTTCACACAAGCTCTCCTAATAGGCCATTTTATAGTTGTGTGCTTTGTTGCCAAGCCTTTGATTTGGCGTGAGGCTGAAGGTGACCTTGTTGTGATAGAGACCAGTATCTAGTGACAATAATAACAAAGTAATTTGTATTTGAAAAGCAGCAATGTTTGTATCATAACAAGGTGACCCTTACCCATCACTCTTGTTCAGAGGCTTGACATCCAAGCACGCAACTGTATCAATGGACTATTACATTCCAATATGATCAGGAAAATAATCTTTTCGTTTTGTCCACATTTTTAACCCTTAACATAAAAAAGATTGACCAAAACAATAGGATCTTGTTGTCATTAAGACTTCAATCTATCAGAGAAGTGGGAGATAAGTCCATGGAGGAAAAAGATCCAATTAGTCATGACCGTGGTAGTGCAAGTTCAGGTAATGTCAAGAAAGTCATAGACTTCTATCATTTGGGAGAAGAAGCCATAGAGTACCACAACCTACATCTTAAAATAGCTAAAGAAGTAGGAGACAAGCATGGGGAAGGTAACGCGTATGGCAATCTTGGCAATGCTTGTCACAGTCTGGGTGATTTCAGAAAAGCCATAGAGTACCACAACCTACATCTTAAAATAGCTAAAGAAGTAGGAGACAAGCGTGGGGAGGGTGGTGCTTATGGCAATCTTGGCAATGCCTATCACCGTCTAAGTTATTTTAAAAAAGCCATAAAGTACCACAACCTGCATCTTAAAATAGCTAAAGAAGTAGGAGACAAGCACGGGGAGGGTAGTGCTTATGGCAATCTTGGCCATGCTTATCACATTCTGGGTGATTTAAAAAAAGCCATAGAGTACCGCAACCTACATCTTAAAATAGCTAAAGAAGAAGGAGACAAGCATGGGGAGGGTACGACTTATGGCAATCTTGGCAATGCTTATCTTAGTCTGGGTGATTTAAAAAAAGCCATAGAGTACCACAACCTACATCTTAAAATAGCTAAAGAAGTAGGAGACAAGCATGGGGAGGGTAACGCTTATGGCAATCTTGGCAATGCTTATCAGAGTCTGGGTGATTTGAAAAAAGCCTTAGAGTACCACAAACTACATCTTAAAATAGCTAAAGAAGTAGGAGACAGGCATGGGAAGGGTAAAGCTTATGGCAATCTTGGCAATGCTTATCGCCATCTGGGTGATTTCAAAAAAGCCATAGAGTACCACAACCTAGGTCTTAAAATAGCTAAAGAAGTAGGAGACAAGCATGGGGAGAGTAACGCTTATGGCAATCTTGGCAATGCTTATGGCTGTCTGGGTGATTTCAAAAAAGCCATAGAGTACCACAACCTACATCTTAAAATAGCTAAAGAAGTAGGAGATAAGAAAGGGGAGGGTAACACGTATGGCAATCTTGGCAGTGCTTATCACAGTCTGGGTGATTTCAAAAAAGCCATAGAGTACCACAACCTACATCTTAAAATAGCTAAAGAAGTAGGAGACAAGCATGGAGAGGGTGGTGCTTATGGCAATCTTGGCAATGCTTATCAGAGTCTGGGTGATTTAAAAAAAGCCATAGAGTACCACAACCTACATCTTAAAATAGCTAAAGAAGTAGGAGACAAGCATGGGGAGGGTAACGCTTATGGCAGTCTTGGCAATGCTTATCAGAGTCTGAGTGATTTCAAAAAAGCCATAGAGTACTGCAACCTACATCTTACAATAGCTAAAGAAGTAGGAGACAAGCATGGGGAGGGTAAGGCTTATGGCAATCTTGGCAGTGCTTATTTTAGTCTGGGAGATTTCAAAAAAGCCATAGAGTACCACAACCTACATCTTAAAATAGCTAAAGAAGTAGGAGACAAGCATGGGGAGGGTAAAGCTTATGGCAATCTTGGCAATGATTATCACCGTCTGGGTGATTTCGAAAAAGCCATAGAGTACCACAACCTAGATCTTAAAATAGCTGAAGAAGTAGGAGACAAGCATGGGAAGGGTAGTGCTTATGGCAGTGTTGGCAATGCTTATGGCCGTCTTGGTGATTTCAAAAAAGCCATAGAGTACCACAACCTAGGTCTTAAAATAGCTAAAGAAGTAGGAGACAAGCATGGGGAGGGTGGTGCTTATGGCAACCTTGGCAATGCTTATCGCCGTCTGGGTGATTTCAAAAAAGCCCTAGAGTACCACAACCTACATCTTAAAATAGCTAAAGAAGTAGGGGACAAGCATGGGGAGGGTAAAGCCTGGGGTAATATTGGTCGTATGTATCAAACTGAGGGAGATTTGATAAAGGCTAACGAGTCATACAACCTAGCGCTTAAAATTGCTAAAGAGGTCGAAGACAAATCCTTGGAGGCAATGGCCTACTGTTCATTAGGATTCGTTTCTGAGTTGCAGGGTGGACTGCCAAAAGCCGCAGAACATTACCAAGCTAGCATAAACTTATTCAATTCCCTGAGAGTACTTCTAAAATCCAAAGATGAGTGGCAAGTTAATTTTCGAAATCAGTATCAAAGCGCGTATACGGGTTTGTTGAGAGTTCTCTTAGAACAAGGTAATATAGATGAAGCCTTATTTGTTGCTGAGAAAGGACGAGCTCAAGCTCTGTCCGACCTTATGGAATCCAGTTTTTGTGGTGAAGCAAGTCAGCACAAGGCAGGTGATGAAGATTTAGCAGTCACTGCTAAGTCTTCATCGATTTGGATGAAACGTTTTTTAAAAGTTTTAAAAAACGTTCCATCAAACACCGTCTTTCAGGCAGTGGACAAAGCTGATGTCAATCTTTGGGTTGTGTCCGAAGGAAAACAAGTTCAGTTAAGAAAAAGTAAACTCGGAGGTTTTGTTCCAGAGAATGGTGGATCTAGGCAGTCCTTTGAGTCGTTCATGCTCGGTGTCTATACACAACTTGGTGTTGTTTCTAATGTGAGATGCGAGAATCGATCTTTGGATGTTTTGAGGGAGAGCCGTTCAAAGGTGGATGAGAAACCTAAAGAAGACAACCCTCAACCTCCTATCCAACAAAACGAATGTTTGAACACTTTGTACGATACCGTTATGAAGCCGGTGTCTGACCTGCTTCAAGGTGATGAGTTACTCATTATTCCCGATGGACCCCTGTGGCTCGCTCCTTACGCTGCACTCAAAGATGGTAATTCTAAATACCTTTGTGAATCTTTCAGAATCCGACTCGCTCCATCATTAACGAGTCTTGGACTCATTGCCGATTGCCCAGATGATTATCACAAAAGGAATGGTGCGTTACTTGTAGGAGATCCGTGGGTATCCGAGGTTACTAACAGCGAGGGAGGGAAAATCTTCGAGCAGCTTCCGTGTGCTAAAGAAGAAGTAGAAATGATCGGAAAAATTCTGAATATCACGCCAATCACTGGCAGACAGGCCACGAAACGTGAGGTGTTGAAAAGACTCAGTTCCGTTTCCTTAGTTCACTTTGCGGCACACGGATGTATAGAAACTGGCGAAATTGCTCTTACACCTAACCCAGACCGAATATCTACTGTGCCAACGGAGGAGGATTACATTTTAACGATTCGAGATGTGTTAAATGGTCAACTTCGCGCTAAACTAGTTGTACTTAGTTGCTGCCACAGCGGTCGAGGCGAGATCAAGGCTGAAGGTGTGGTTGGCATTGCACGCGCTTTTATGGGGGCTGGTGCTCGGTCTGTTGTGGTGTCCCTGTGGGCGATTGATGACGAGGCTACTCTTGAGTTCATGAAATGCTTTTATCAACACCTTGCAGAAAGTAAACCTGCAAGCGAGTCACTGAACCTGGCCATGAGAAGCCTTAGAGAATCAGACCAGTTCCGCGACATCAAACACTGGGCTCCCTTTTTGCTGATTGGAGATGACGTCACTTTTGACTTCATGGCAAATGAAAGAGAAAATTTGAATACAAAATCAAATAAATGAAAACTTGTTTTTTCTCATCTCAAAAAGAATGACGCATGAACTTAGAGGCGTTAAATGTTTCTCTATTTTGGCAATTTTGACTATTTTTCATAACTTTCTACTTTTTGTTGAATGGAACTTGAGATGTGTAGCTTTACCATGGTGAAGAAATAAAATCAGACTATTTTATTGTATTTTGATCAGTGGAATTGTCTTTTTTTGTTACCTTTAAAAATTAAACGCTTGCGAACAGAACGAAATGTAACAAGGCCTACAGTAGTTGAAGGTGATTGCGAGGTGTTCGTTTTCGTTAATATGACACTCAGCTCTATTCCTGTACCACAATCAGTTGTATGGAAAACAATTTAAAGACTTTTTCTTTTACATAACCAGGAGCTTGTTCACCGGGTTTTAATTTCGTTTATACTCTAAGCTTTTAATAAGCAAAGAAACAGTTCGTCGTTTGCAAAAGTTGGCGAAATTTGTAATTCCAAAAGTTTGATTTCTAAATTTGCAGCAATATGCTAATAAAACTTGGATGGTTTCTCTATATCATAAATTACTTTGTTACAATTTGAGATTGTCTTCACAGGAAAATTTGTGTAATATTTTTTTCAATCCATCTCAATGAATCTAATTCTATCAGTGCCAAGATTGCCATTCTAAGCTTAATTTGAAGAAGTAAACATCACAGATAATTGAATTTACTGACCATATGTAAGAGACATAAGACCTACTTTCAGGGGTGTAGCCAGCCTCTAGTCCCGTAGGCCCGGCCTACAATTGTTTTCCGCCCGCTTGACTTTCATAATACGACTTTTGCAAATGTTGAAACGAAAATTGAACTTTGTGAGGGAACAGGCCCAAAGCAAGTCAAAAAGCTGGCTAAAGCCCTGTTTGTAATCAAATGAGTTTGGTAAATTTTATTCCGTTTTATCAAACACTTATCTTTTCGTTTTAAAGAACTACGACAGAGAGGTTAAAAATTGTGCATGTAATCGAAATAAGGAAACTGCAAAGCAGAGTTCACTGTAACGGTAGTTTCCACAGTTGTGACTTTACTGTATGTTCTATGGAATTTGTTGTTTCTTGTAGGAAAATATTTATACCAATTAAGTAAAGAAGGAGATAAAGTAAACCATGTAGTCATCAATGGGAATTCTTTTGGTGAAAAGGTTCACCACAAATGTAAATGTAGTCCGAAGTTGAAAAGGTTCAGGGCTTCAGGATAAAACTTTCAATTTTTGAAAATTCCCTGTTTAATTTGCTTTCATTTCTTTAGATTTACCTTAGTTTAATTTGAAGATGTCTGATAATATCTTTCTTAGATTTAAGAATTTATACCTAGGTATTCATTGTACGCTTTTTAATTAGAACCCGTTAGGTGGTCAAAAATTAAGATATACTGTATCACGGCTGTTTTAGAAGAAAGTTTTGTTAAATGAATCTTAATTTTGCAGATTTTCGTAACTACTATTGATATATTAGTTAACCTCGCGCACGGTTGAACATGATGTAACGTAGGATTTTAAAAACAAGGTCGAACAGTTTCAACTAAATATGTTTTGTGTAATGTCATTGTATTTCGAGTGAAGTATTTTGATGTTATTTTTATTTACAGTTAAAAATAATTGTTCACTTACTTTAGTTTAATTAACTCATGAACTCCCAAGTTCTGAAGACAAATTCTCCCAACTGACAAGAATGTGTTTGTTTGTAGCTTCATTCTGAGAATCTGATGTAACATTACGTTTCTAGCAAAAAATTATCTTCCAGTCTAGATTTTCTCTAATTCTTATTGACACCATGTTTGTTGGTGTATTAATTCAAATTATGATCAGTCTTGGGAGTAAATGGGTTCATTTTAGTGTCTCCATGTTGCGTGTATTTTACTTAAAGCCTTGGACAATTTAATGCAGTTTCTGTTGTACTTAATTTTATACTTCTTTGTGTAAGAGAAATATACAGTGTATAAAATACGAAAACTGTGTTGATTTTTATTGTCTGTCTCCATA